GAACGTGCTGGCGATTGTGAGGACAACGCAGGGACCAGGCAATGTTTTGTTGTAGATTAAGGTCGCCACGAGTCGGAGTCAGCTCCGTGGCAGCTACTCACAACAGTCTACCTGGGAGTCCCTGGGTGGTGCACACGGTTAATGTGCTCGCTGCTAACTGAAAGGTCAGAGGTTCAAATCCACCCAGACGTGCTTCAGAAGAAAGGTCTGGTCATCTACTTCTGAAAAATCAGCCAATGAAAACCCTGTGGAGCCCAGTTCTACCCTGACACACATGGGGGCACCGTGGGTCGGAGCTGACTTGATGGAAACTGGTCACGGCTGCTTTCCTGCTACAGCAGCAGAGGCCATATGCCTGCAAAGCTGGTAATGTTTACAGTCTGTCTCTTGACGGGAAGTTTGCTGAGCTCTGCTCTTGAGGACTAGAACAGGGATGATTCCATCCAAGTTACTCTGTTAGGACCATACTGTAAAGTGACAGTTTGAACTTAGTTCTCTTGTGATCAGAGGTGAGGTGTAGGAAGGTTGATATGGGACTAGATGGCAGAGAAACCAGCTGGGAAGCTGTCACAGCCGTCTCTCAGAGAAAGGGCAGGGTTTTGCATTTTATCTGCTCCTCGGCCCAGCACACATGGTCCCCTGGACATGAAAACATTGCCCTTCTCCCAGCTGATGCCATTAGCTCGGGGTTCACCTCAAAGCTCCCTCCTAGAAACCCCAAGTCAGCCCCCCCTTAAATCCTCCGTGGTCTCCGCACAAACGCCCTTAACTCACGGCAGTTTGCTTTGTTCTTGCCGACATCAGCTCTATAGCTGTTCTCAGATCACTTCTTTCTCCACAGTGAACGTCAGAGTCCTGGAGGCCGGAGCCTGCGTCCGCTCCTCGTTTCTCCCCCTGCTCCTCACCCGCGTGCTCTGCTGAGTCTCCGCTGGTGGAAAGGACACCGAGTCATGGTGACCCCATGTGTTACAGAGTAGAACTGTGCTCCATAGGGTTGTCTTAGCTGTAATGTTTACGGAAGCAGATCACCAGGCCTTTCTTTCGTGGTGCCACTAGGTGGGTTCAAACCACCAGCCTTTTGGTTAGCAGCCGCTGCTGGCACCGCCAGGGACCTCAAGGAGCACTGAGCACCGCTTGACTGGCGCAGCGGGTGTGAGGGGCCAGAGCATTCGAATATGGCGGCACATCTGGACACAGCCCTCACCTGCCCTCAGCCAGCATGGCCCACGTGCCGTTTCCTGCTGCTGCGTGCACACATGCGTGTTTGAGCAGGCCTGTGTCTGCTCCTCCCTGTGCCCTCAGTGGTTAGCATGATATTTTGAACGTAGCTGGTCCCTTCTACGTGTTTGGTAATGACAGTTTCTGAGCAGGATGTGCTGTAGGAGAAAACATACCATATCTTGTTCTAGAGATTAGTCAGCACACATCAGGTTGCTAACAGTAAGAGCAAGCATCTGTCTGTCTGATGCACCAACGTGCGTCGGTTAAAGCGATGAGAGCCCCGTCAGTCGTTTTGTATAATAAAACTAGAACTGTTGTCAGTTGCCGTGGGGTCGATTCCAGCTCACGGCGACCCCATCTGTGCAGAGTAGAACTTCTCCATAGGGATTTCAAGGCCTTTTGGAGGCAGATAGCCAGGCCTGTCTTCCGAGGCATCTCTGGATGGGTTCGAACCACCAACCTTTGGCTAGTAGTCAAGCGCTTAACCATTTGCGCCACCCAGGAAAGGAGACTAAAACTAGACGCAGCGTAAATAGAGTCATGTTGGGAACGTTGGTCCCAGTGTCCACTGTCAGATGGCAGAGGCTAAAGCTTCCCGACCTGCTGGACAGCTCAGGTGGTGGCTGGGGGAAGAGCAGGGGTGGGTGGGGTAGAGAGCAGGCTGG